GGCTGCGTGGCGGGCGGGCCGCGAAGCGGGCAGCGAGCGGGCGGGCGGGCTGCGAAGCGGGCAGCAGGACGAGCGGGCTGCGAGCGGGCGGCTCGGCGGGCGGGCGACACTGCGAGGGGCGCGCGAGGGCGCTAGTGAGGGGCGCGCGAGGGCGCTAGCAAGGGGCGCGCGAGGGCGCTAACGAGGGGCGCGCGAGGGCGCTAACGAGGGTGCGCGCGAGGGCGCTAACGAGGGGCGCGCGAGGGCGCTAACGAGGGCGCACGAGGGCGCTACGAGGCTAGGGCACGGGGTAGCGTGGTAACCGCATGCGAGCGGTGGTGGGCCCTTAAAAAAAAAAACGGTCGGTAGGTCCTAGGGACCTCCTGCTCTGAATACCATTTCAGAATAGCTAGGCAAGAATGAATGAACTAGCAGAAGTTTGGGTACAAATATGAAACCCTAGTTGGGGTTGTACCCCATATTGGCTACCCCACTACAGCCTACAAGCATAATACAGTTTAACATGTCGGAGTGAAAGGCCCCGCCCTCGCTTGGGCGTAGGCATTCTCTGCGACGACGTGGTGAATTCGACGAAGTTATCGTCGCATTGGATCAGCCCGTTCTCTGAAACCGCGGGTGGTTTTCGAGGAAGGTTGTCATGTGATTCACCAGCCCGTCAACGAGCTCTGGTCGACGGGGTGCTGTTCGACGAGCTCGTCTTCTGATCTGCTTCTGGGTCGCGCGATCTCTGACGGACGGGGTGCTGTCCGAGGAGCTGCGTTCTCTGATCGAAGGGCGCTGTTCGGCGAGCGTCAGCTCGGCGAACTGGTCGGCCAAATTCGCGCGACTGCGAAACTCTGCGAGGGCATGCGAAATTCGCTCAGGTGGTTCTTAGCGAAATTCGACCTCCGAAATGGCATCACGTGCTCGACGGCGGACATCTGACGAAACCGTCGGAGCGTTTTCTACCTGGCACCTGCGCAATGTCTCTGACGGTGTAACCGTCTACCTGCACCTACTCGGCAGGTGCACACCTGCGCAGATATTCACCTGCGAATGCAGCGCTGGCAGGCCGCCCTGCTGCAGCGCTGGCATGTCGCCCTTCTGCTACGCTGGCAGACCGCTCTGTTTCAGCGTTGGCGAACCGCTCTGATGCAGTGCTGGCAATTCGCCTTGCAGAATGGTTGCTAGGGGTTGCAATGCCATTCCAGAGATATCACTTTGCATGCTCATTCTTGTACTCTAATTCTCAATTTTCAATGTACTTTCAATTTCCTTAGTGGAAACTCTTGCCAAATCTCTCTGTGAACAGAGCAAGTAGTAAGATCTCTGTTAGAACGCTACTAGAGCGCTACGATCACCTGCACAACCTCGTGCCCTCCTTCGTAGTTCACACCCGTTGTAGGGTGACTCTCCGCAGTACGCTCCTTGTTCGGCCGGCACGATCACTCAATGAGGCTCGGTTGGTTCGGACGAGCGACGTGTCTTGTCAGTAGAGGGCCCGTCTGCTACTTACACCCAGCGTTTCCTTGCTGCTTGCAGTTCCTTCCTGCCCCGCTCCCTCCTTTCCCTTCGCATTTTTCGGTCTCGGTGGCGAAGAAAATCGAGTTTCTCCGCCATAGCGAGAATTTTTTTGAATTCGGCCACATTGAGGAGCAGAACATCGGGGGCGATGTCGCTTTTCAGGCCACTGACATAGTGATTGATACATTCCACTCCGTGCATGTATCCCACCTACTCGCACAATGCAAGAAACCCCATTGTATAGTCTTGGACGGAACAGAGCTGGTGCCAAGTGCGGAGATTCTATCGCGCAACGACCGACGCCGCGATTGGCTCGAATCTTGCGCGCAGACCTGTGCTCCACTCGTCCCTCGTGCAATACTAGGCCACCCTCACGAAATACGACGGCGCCCAAAGTCCGGTTGGTCCTTCCCGTAGAGGTAGAGCCCAGTAGTCGGTCGGCTTCGTAATAATTACGCCTCACCAATCCGTGGCGGGTCCTCGCAGTGACGACAAGGGGTATCGAATCTTGGCCTCGTACGACGAGACGTAGTTTGCGTCGAAGACGACGTTCATCGTGAACAAACGTCGCCTCTGTTATTGCGTGCGACGCCATCGTTAGCCTTGCTCGAGGGTTGTCCCACACTCTCATGCTGGGATGCATGTCGTGCTCCTTGTTCTTGTGTGCTTTGCGTTTGCGACCGCGCTTGTTGCGCTGTGCGATGTCATTTTGCATTGACGCGAGTTCTGAATATTTCTGTACACAAGCATTCTGATTGGCTGTCCAATTTAGTCGGCCACCGTGTTTACAGATCAGGAAGCACTCGATGCGCGTGTGCTGTTACAATTAATGTGTACCTTGCAAGATGTTAGTGTGATCAGATTGTTTCTTAGTGTTTACCAACTTCATCATTTTTATCAAATTACAGATTACATTATTCTGCGTGGTTTGTTTGTTTCCGTCTGCTGACATCCCGCCAAGATCGCTTTCTCTTCGTTTTTGTACCTACGCCGGCTTTGGACGGCTGTAATCATTTTGCTGCCGCAGCTTGCTTAGGTTTCGGTTTGCGTTTTTAAGCGAAATGATATCTATTTTGACTGTGCCGTGCTTGTGTATAAAATAAGCTTTACGAAATTCAACTACCAGAATGTGCGAGGGTCTGGGAAACAAAAATCCCGTTTGGGCAGCAAAAGCTGCCAATGCCGGCGTTGACAGACGTTTCTGTACCTACGCCGGCTCAGGACGGCTGTAATCAATTGTGTTTTCGCAGCTTGCTTGGGTTTCAGTTTGCCTCTTCCAGAAATTTTATTTACTCTGACAGGTAATGTGCTGTGTATCAGTGTAACCTAAGTTTCGCTACTCGTGGTCCACATACCAGAACTTTGGGGTGAGGGAGCAAGAGCAAGAGCTGCCAATGCCGGCTTTGACAGTGACAAAATAGACCCTGCAAGCTGGTGAAGACATCTTTCTTGGACAATGGTGGGACATTTCACGCCGACACAGGCCGGCTGTATAATTGTGCCGCCACAGCTTTCCAAAGTTTCCGTTTGCCTCTCTCAGTACAGTGAAATGTTACAAGTTAAGTGCTTTGAAGGTAAATGTACTGTAAGAAGCCTAAAGTTTTTTATGATTCCAGTTCCAAGCGACCCAGACAAACGCTGAAGGCGGTGCTACAGTAAATGCGCGAATTTCTACGACACCTTGATGTGATGTGGTTGGCAGCCTGGCACCTCCCGCCGCATTCTGGCTGTGACCGTCTGAAAACTTTTCTCCCTCTCGATCGAGTGCCTTTCAATCAGAAACTACTTTCCTGCAGGTATACAGTGGGAACCGCGTTGACACTTTCGCACTGGTTGTGAAGTTTACCTGTTCTCCCGTGGTTTTGTAGGAGTGTTTTAATTACACACTTAGTAGGTTGTTGAGCTTTCCCGATCTGAAGGTATCACCACATGGAAGATAATTTTCATGAACATTTCAAAATACTTGGGCTATCTTGTTGTGCAGTGATGTGCTCTGTACACCAAATGTGGGCAGTTGTCCCCCGTTCACTTCTGGTTGACGTTCTGATCGACCTCACGTGCTGAATGTTTTGATCCAGCCACTTTTTTCATGGGAGAGCTAATTTGTACTCTACAGTGCTTCTCTTTTTACGGATTTGTTGCACTGTACAGTTGCTAATTTGTTCTCACAGATCAAGATGATCCACGAAAACCAGCTTCAGTAGATTGTTCGAACTGTAGTGTGTTGCAACTTTCTCCTGCCCGTTGCGTGTCGCCAAGGAACTGGGTGGGACTGGGAGAGTCGTGTGTACACTGTAAACTACAGTTCAACTGATCACTGTTCGTCCATCTGATTGGTGAAGAATCGTTTGACTTTTGCCGTTGAAATCCTTCTACCCAATCCGGTCATTCAGCTACTGCCTGTCAGGTATCTATGCCGGACCATGAAACGGTGCTGGCGGCGCCCCGTAAAAAGCAACATAGGCCCTTGTCTGTTAGATAGTGGCGCATAATGGCAAAATTGCACAAATAGGGCACGTGTAGACACAAGGTTTGGTCGAAGCAACCCACAACTTGAGGGGTTCACTGTGCTTGCCATTTCTCCAGCAGAGCAGTGTACTTCATTTTTCTTTGATCTGGGTGAACAGCATTTCGTGGCTTAATCGTTAAAAAGCAAGCAGAGAAATCTTCACAGCGGACTTCGAGCTGGGATGCAGGGCTCAAAAAATGTTCTAACCCTAATCACCAGCTCCTGAAGGAGGGTATGGCCATGCCAAGCGGGAATAGGGTGGTATAGATTGCGAATGCTGTATTTCTAGGACGGTGACATAGCTTACCCTGAAATGAAGGCCAACAGTGAAACATTCCGAACGATTTCAGGGTACACAACACTCCCTCCCCCGCAACCACCTCCAATCAACCTTCCTCCACACGGGAAGGCCCCCACTTCATCAAAAGGTACTCCAAGAGCTACTTCTAGTCAACACGGTTTGACCCAAAGTTGTTGTACTTGGTCGTAACGCGGTTTCGGGAGACAAGACTCAACGCTGCAACGCTTCTTTCACTCCGCAGCCATTTATGCTTACTAGAGGCTATAAGCAGCGTTGACGCGTTTCCGGGAGTACGCAGTCAGGCGTCGCCGCGTCACGCGACGGTCGCCCTGTATGAACGCGCGCGGCGGGAATCCCACCGTAAGATAGTAAGTATTCTTAAGGTAGACGAAGCCGGCGAAGCACGCTTAAGGTGGACGTTGTAACCCCACGTCGGACCCTCCTCAGAAAAGCTTCCAAGTTGGGATCCGAATAGTTTTTCAAAGGACCCTCACAGGACCCTTATCAGCAGTGTTTCAGACCTTCAGGGAAAAAATCCGTGATGCCGCGGAAAGCTTCAAAATAAGACATTTATTTGTCATAATTTCTGGCCGGGACACCGCTATCAGTAGATGCAGCATGGACGAGAAGCGTCCAACGCAGGCTGGCTTCGCCGACGGGCAGCGCCAAAATCAAGTGGTTGGATCGATGCAGCGCGTTCGGAAAGAGGCGCTCGCCACGGACCATAAGTTCTCATACGACCAACAAACCACCGTGACGAGCGATCCAGCAGCGCCGTCATGGTCACTGGAGGCTCACCTTCGTGGCGCGCGGCAGATCATGATGGAGGCAAGCTCTCTGACAGCGTTTGATGGTATCAACGCGAGCAGAGATAGCATGAAGGCCGCACTACCTGCGATATTAGCCTCTGGGACTGTATATCGTCCCTGGGGTTCGGGGTCACCCCGGAAACAGGTGGAGCAGCAGCAGCAGGGTCAGGGGCAGGCGCAGGAGCAGTTTCTTACGCAAGCGCAGCCGCAGCAGCAGCATCCTCAGCAAAAGAAAGAGGGACAGTGGAAGGGGCAGCAGCAGCCGCAGCAGCAGCAGCAGCAGCAGCAGCAGCAGCAGCAGCAGCAGCAGCAGCAGCAGCAGCAGCAGCAGCAGCAGCAGCAGCAGCAGCAGCAGCAGCAGCAGCAGCAGCAGCAGCAGCAGCAGCAGCAGCAGCAGCAGCAACCGGGCCGCCAGGCACAGGAGCAGGGGCAGAGGCACATGCACCAGCTGCTTACCAGACCCTTGGGAGCTGCCCATTTTGGCCATCATGGGCATACACCGCAGAGGACACATCCCTGCAGTCTGTCCAAGGATGTCCTCGAAGTACCAGCTTCGGCGTCAGTTCCAACGCTGGACCTGCCCTTCCACCCACACGGAGTGCAATGGGTGCAAGCCACTCTGCTTTTAGAGCAGATTCAGCAGCAGCAGGAGTCACGGCTACAATTTGAGGTTCAGCCGGTGCTTCAGCCACGAGGGCAGCTCAGGTTGGAGCAACTATCGGCGCAGCTACAGCCGCTGCTGCAGGGTCAGGCGCAAGCCGTCACAAAAGATATCGCAAGCCAAACTGAACCGGAGACGACACGAAAGCGCACCACCCGCAGCCGGAACTACACCCAACCTGGGAAGTATCGTGGGGTGAGGAAGCGAGGCGAGGGACGGTACATCGCCGAAATAAAGGACACGACCTTCGGCGTGCGCAAGTGGCTGGGGACGTTTGCCACTGCCGAGGAAGCTGCCCTGGCGTTTGATCGAGCTGCGGTGCAGATTCGAGGCAGGAAGACGAAGCTCAACTTTCCTGAGCTCATGCTGGGCGGCGAAGGAGACGCCGGGCTGGAGCTTGCAGCACAAGCGTCTAAGGGAAATGGCCCGGGGAAGGCCTCTGCAGAGAAGGTTATGGAAGCGACTTGTAGCCAGGAGGTGAGGAGTTGTGCCGAGCAGGCCATGCAAGGAAAGCCGGCGGCAGAGAATGAGGCGGTAGCTGGGCGATTGGGTGAAATCGGAGTCTGGCGAAGTGCTTATGGCGAGGCAATTGCAATGCAGGCAGCAGGTTGCAAAGCTGTATTGGCATCACAGGCTATATCCGACACGGACGTGGTTGGGTTGACGACATGCGCAGATAGCAGCACTGTCAGTGGAAGCAGCTCGAGCAGAGCTGGCCCTTCCACCTCGTCTGCCTCCGCGCCTGCATCCATCCTCTCCATCCCTCAGGCCATGTTTCTACCCGGAGAGCCGAGCTCTGCAGGATTTGAGCATGCTAACCGGCGTTTCACGAAGGCCAACGAAGGCATGCTGGTTGGTGCTGCTGGTACTGAAGCTGGTGATGGTGGCATGAAGCAGGAATGCGGGCAGGAGGAAGTTTTTCCGGAAGAGGTGAATAGTGGAGGTTTAGAGGATGTGCTTGGAGAAGGAATAGTGCATAAGGAGAAAACTGATCCTGGAACTGAAATTAGACATGACGGAGATTTTTGCATGGAAGATCTGGATTTCTATTTCCAGTCACCACACCCACTTCAGTCAAATCTACAATTTCCGACTCCACGGATGCAGTCACCACAGAAGCAGGGGGGATTTTTGTGGCAGCAGCATCATGGGCAGGAGCAGCAGCAACAGAAGCAGCAGCAGCAGCAGCAGCAGCAGCAGCAGCAGCAGCAGCAGCAGCAGCAGCAGCAGCAGCAGCAGCAGCAGCAGCAGCAGCAGCAGCAGCAGCAGCAGCAGCAGCAGCAGCAGCAGCAGCAGCAGCAGCAGCAGCAGCAGCAGCAGCAGCAGCAGCAGCAGCAGCAGCAGCAGCAGCAGCAGCAGCAGCAGCAGCAGCAGCAGCAGCAGCAGCAGCAGCAGCAGCAGCAGCAGCAGCAGCAGCAGCAGCAGCAGCAGCAGCAGCAGCAGCAGCAGCAGCAGCAGCAGCAGCAGCAGCAGCAGCAGCAGCAGCAGCAGCAGCAGCAGCAGCAGCAGCAGCAGCAGCAACAACACCAACCAGAAATGGTGCCCCAGAAGCAGTCTATGCAGGATGAGAATCCACTCCCTCCTATTCCTGCCTCCTTACACCCGCCACAGTCGTGGGCCATCACTGCTGCCATGCCCCTCTCCGCAGCCATGGCTTGCCGCAGCAGCCCACCATGCCAAGGCATGCCAAGTCAAACAATGGTGGGAATGGACTCAACAGCCGTGGCTAGTGGTAGCAGTAGCAGCGGCGGCAGTAGCAGCAGTGGCTGCAGTAGCAGCGGCAGTGGTAGCGGCAGCAGCAGGCACATTGATTGCAGTACCTCCCCTCAACCAGCATCGGAGGCAGGAGAGGCTGGCAAAGCTCCCGATCTGCTTGCACCACACCGTTCTTCCGCAACAAACTTCTCGTGGGACGACTCCATCCATGAGGGACAGCTGAGTGAAGGGGCTCAACACGTTATGGCTGCATTGGAGACAATGTTTCCTGGTCTGCCAGACCATGCAGACTATGGAGACAAGCAACAGCCCCCGGGAAAGCATGAGGCGTCTTTATTTGATGCAGTGCAGAATGAGATGCTCGATGCTATCATGCACACTGGAGGGCTGCTGCTTGGGAAAAATGTGCATGAAGCGGTGTTGGTCCCTCCATGGGATGAGCCGCATGGTAACACAGCAGTGCAGGCAGCATGGGACCAGTCAGCGAGTGCATGGAGCACGGAGGCAGTGGGGAATTTGGTGTTGAGTGATGCAGACCCGTTTGAAGCGCCCGAGGCACAAGCCATAGACGAGCCGTGGCACAGAGACGCGCAGTTCACTGGTGCTGGCATGTCTGGTGCCTCTGGCCCGGCTGAACAACTCCAACAGCTGCGATTTCAGCAGCAGCAGCCAAACAGTCAGCAGCATGATCACCAGTAGCAGCATCCGCCACTGCAACTGTAGCAGCAGCAACAGCAGCCACCCCATAATCCTTAAAGTGAACATCAAGGAAGAAGGGTCCTGCCATCCGCCAGGGCCCCCTCTGCCATGTCAGGAAAGAATGGAAGAATGGCCAAGAAGAGACCAGGATGCCTTCATGAGCTACCATGTCAGACATAGGCCGAGCCTTCTTCAGTTTGTGCACCAGCATCCATCCCAGAGCAGGCTGGAGTGGTGCTGATGTGGTAGGGGTGGCACTAGGGACCTCAACCTTCTCCACTTGCGGTGTGTCAGGTGTTGTCCTCATGGGATGATAAAAGGCACGATTTGGGGAAGGTGTGTTTTTTTAGGCTGTGATGGTGGATGTGACTTGATGTGGATGTGTGAGCCAAGCATATCACCAGGGGTGCATGCCCAAATGGTGGTGGGTAAAAGTTTGAAGGCAATGGAGCTGCACGAGCAGCAGATGCTCCTAATGGTTATTGACTAAAAAATTTGGCAAACAATATACACCCGTGTACCAGTAATGCACCAGTAAGTACTAAGTGCATCGGATTCTACGTTTGATAGCAACAACAATGATGGTAAACTGAGCTTAGTGAAGTGCTTGCTTGAGTGCCAAAAGACAAATACACTTGCAGAATATATAATGGAAATATACATTGTCTAAGAAGTGCCAGGTAGTCAAAGCTGAAATCTACAGTGTTTCTCCGAGTTTGGTAGCTCCAGCGCCGCTCTTGTAGGTATTTTTCTGTCAAATGTTATACCCTGTTGTGGGTCATGCTATATGGGGTACAAGCAGTTAGGGTTAGGCATGTGTACCCCAACCCTATCAATCCTACTCATTCCGCTGTAGCTACTTTCTGAGATGGTATCAGCTAGGTTCCTCGCTCCTAGGCCCTAGGTTTAGGGTTTCGTTCCTTCCCTAGCTCGCCACACACGCCAGCGCGCTAGTGCGCTAAGCCCTAAGCCGCCAGCCAGCCAGCCAGCTGCCCCCTAACGCGCCACGCCGCCGGTCGACCAGCTGCGCAGCCCGCTCGTCGACCCGCCGCGCCGCCCGTAGGCCCGCGCGCCGCGTCGCCCGCCCGTCGACCGGCTGCGCAGCCCGCCCGCCACTCAGTACGCCGTGCCGCACGCCCCATAGCGCGCCGCGCCGCCCACCACCCAGCGCACTGCGCCGCCCACCAGCCAGCGTACCGCGCTGCCCACCAGACAGCGCACTGCGCCGCTCACCTACCCACCTACATGCCTCCCCGCCTGCCCACACGTTACTGATTGTCTCTCCCCTCCCGCGGCTGGCAGCCGCGCTCTCTCAGTCTCGCCCTCTATGGCGACCTCCCGAGTACTTCGTTTCGACCCTGAAGGGCGACCTATAGATTTTAGCACGTGGCTTACGCAGGCGCAGCGCCACCTTAAGAGCCAGCGGCAGGATGGCGTGCACTTGTTCGCCCACGCATCCGGTACTCAGACCGCTCCCCAGCAGCCTAGCCCGCTGCCCACTACCCCACCGCCTACTCCTGAGCAGGAGGCCGAGTACCAGCGCCAGCTCCTCGCTCGCGACGTGTGGGAGTCTCGTGACGCCGCTGCCTGCCTCGCCCTGACCGACCTTCTCCCGCCGACAGAGGCAGTCCACTTCGCTCAGGTCGAGTCTGCTGCAGATCTGTATAAGGCTATTGTTGCTCGCTACTCTACTCCCTCCTCTGCGTCGCTCAGTCGCCTCCTCGTACCCTTTATCTACCCTGACCTCGCCTCCTTTGAGACTGTCTCTGACCTCGCTACTCACCTGCGCTCCCTTGACGCTCGCTTTCGCGCTGCTTGCACTGAGGACCAGCTTGCCCTTGCCCCGCCCCCTATGTGGCTCACTATTCACTGGCTAGTCACTCGCCTCCCTGACCGCCTAGCCACAGCCCGCGATGCGCTTCTTCTGAAGCACCCCACTGAGCTTACCATCGATCTTCTTGAGACTGCTCTCTCGAAGATCGAGAGTAACCTCCTCACCGTTGCCTCTGCCTCTTCCGCGCCTCCTCCTCGTCTTTTTGAGGGGTGTGCGGTACCACAGCTTCCCACCTTCTCTGCCTCCCTTGCCACTCCCACGTCTTCTGCCTCCGAGGAGACGGCGGCTGTTTCTGTCTCTGGCGGACAGAAACGTGGCAAGGCCGGCAAGAAGGGCGGGAAGGGCGGCGGGGGTACTGGAGGTGGTGCGGGTAGTGGCGGTGGCGGTGGAGCAGGTGGTGGGAGTGGTGGTGGGGGTGGCTCGGGACCTGACGGCCCTCCTTTCGACGGTGGAGTTTCCATTGGTGGTGAGGGGCTCCAGCAGCAGCAGCAGCCGACTCCTCAGCAGCTGCCACCGCCTGGACAGCAGCAGCGGCAGGGACAGCAGCAGCAGCAGCGACAGGGCCAGCAGCAGCGCCTACCGCAGCAGCAGCCTCAGCAGTGGGGCCCTCCGCAGCAGTGGGGCCCTCCGCAGCAGTGGAGGTCTGCGGGTCCCCCGAGCACTGGGCGCGGTGGCGCCCCCTCCAGTCGGGGACCTCGCGCGGCCGGCCGCGACGTTGGTCCCTGTGAGTACTGGATCCTTACGGGTCCTCGTAGGGACACGTACTGTGGCCGCCCCGACCACTCTGCTGCACGCTGCTTCAGTCGTCTCGACGACCTCTACCGCTTGCACCACGGCCCCTCCGCTCCCCCGCCGCCACGCTGGGGGACGCTGCTTGCTCGTGGTATTGCTGTTTTTGATATGACTATGGATGATGCTAGGTCTTATGCCATGTATGCTGATGTTGACTATAGTGCTCCTGGATCTGTGTACTTGCCTGTACCTAGCTTAGGATCTTTGCCTGTTGCTAGAGTAGGTGCTAGTGTAGGATCTTGCTTAGCTACTAGTACAGGTACTCCCTCGGCGGACACGTCTCTCTCCTTCACACTGGACTCAGGAGCGTCGCACTGCTTCTTCCGCGACTGCACGACTCTCTCTCCGCTACCGGCGCCTGTCCCTGTAGCACTGGCCGATCCCTCCTCGGGACCGGTCATTGCGACTCACGCCACTACTCTCCCGTGCCCAGCTGCTCCTTCTGGTTCCCTGACCGGCCTCCACGTTCCTACGTTCTCTAGGAACCTGGTTGGTGTGGGCACCTTGGCGAGACAGCACGTCGGTGTCTGGGTTGAGCCTTCTGGTGACACCGCAGTCTGCGTCGACGGTGACACGTACGCCCCCTTGGCCACTTTCCGCCAGGAGCCGGGCTCTGGTCTGTACACCCTCCACACCGACACCCGTCCGGTTCCCCCGTCCCACCAGGTAGCCAGGTCCAGTCAGGTTGCTGTGTCAGGTGTAGTTGCTGCGTCGTGCTCGTGTCGGTCGCTTGCCCACCCCACCGTTCTGTGGCACCACCGGATGGGGCACCCGTCCCTTCCTCGTCTGCGCGCCATGTCCAGTCAGCGTCTTGTCTTAGGCCTCCCCCGAGTCCTCCCGCCACTCCCGCCGTCCCCAGCTCCTCCGTGCGGTCCTTGTGTCCAGGGTCGGCTTCGCGCCACCCCTCACTCCTCCTCCCTTTGTCCGGCCACCGAGCCCTTCCAGACACTCCACTTAGACGTCTGGGGCCCCGCCTCCCGCCTTGGCCCTGAGCGGGAGAGTTTCTTTCTGGTGGTCGTTGACGATTTCTCTCGGTACACCACCGTGTTCCCTTTGGCGAAGAAGTCCGACGTGACTTCTACGCTGATCCGGTGGCTGCTCGCCACCGAGGGCACTCGTGGTCGTCGTGTCAGTTGTCTCCACTCCGACCGTGGGGGTGAGTTTCGCTCCGGCATTCTCGCCAGATTCTGTGCTGAGCAGGGCATCACCCAGTCCTGGACTCTTCCAGACTCTCCACAGCAGAATGGGGTTGCTGAGCGCCGCTTAGGCCTGGTCATGGAGATCGCCCGCACCTCCATGATCCACGCCCGCGCGCCCCATTTTCTGTGGCCCTACGCGGCTCGGTACGCCGCTCACCAGCTGAACCTCTGGCCTCGCGTCTCTCGGCCAGGGGCTTCACCGACCAGTCTTTGGACAGGGTCCCCTGGTGTTGCGTCGAGGTTTAGTGTCTGGGGCTGCTTGGCTCTTGTCCGCGACACCTCTGCGGACAAGATCTCGCCTCGCGCTGTCCCCTGTGTCTTCCTTGGT